TCGTTCTTTTTTAAAACACAGAAACGGTTTTGTTTACCTGTTATTGACGCTACGGTTTCGCCGACAGATGCCGGCTTCTTCAGGCTGACGCTGATGGTGGCGCGTCACTTCCTTCTCCGTTTGTCTGCGGGCAGCATGGACCACGCATGGGACTGCATCGTCGGAGAGGGGAGAGCGGGCAGTAGAGGGCGACAACGTCCTCTGCTGCCCGCAGATAAACGGAGAAGGAAGTGACGCGCCACCATCAGCGTCAGCCTGAAGAAGCCGGCAGCCATCGGCGAAACGTAGCGTCAATAACAGGTAACAAAACCGTTTCTGTTTTAAAAAAGAACGACAACATGGAATTAGAGAAGATAGATGGTTTGAGAGAGGAGTAAAAGACGCTGTCTATGTCAAATGTGAAAAACCTACTTTAACTAGGGGGAGGGGCTTAGATTTCACCTTTCCAGTATCTATAATGCAGCTCTGAATCTTATTCCCAAACCGTTTGAGTCTAGGTCACACCTTCCTGCATCTAATCATTACAAAAACTCACACACAATAGGGACTAACGACTTCAACAACTTGGGGGTGGGGGTATTCATGGGTAGTTTCTGCTCATTATAAGCTTGACTCTCCCATATTCCAGTCTGAATTGCCTTCAGCTGACCCCCTTTGGATTACCATGACCTGGACACTGAGAACCTTCACCAGCATAGTTGCCACACTGAAACCTAAGGATCTTCTGTTTTAGATTAAACGTTCTCATGAAGGAAGACTCTGTGTGACGCTCAAGGCAGCAGCAGTGAGATAACTGACTATTTAAAAGGACTTCAAAAGTTAAGCAGTATAATGTGTTGCAGCACGTTGGGTCAGGTGCTGCTTGCATTGCGACGTGCGTGCGTACGAGCGTGTGACGGGATGCACGGCTGCTTTAACGTGGAGCTTAACCAGGCCTGCGTGGCTGCTGGAGGACAGATTTCGGAGCGGATTTGACGGGATGAGCTCGTCACGCCTCATAAGGACCCTTTGAAATCCCGCCGCTGTCAGAACACGTCTCCTGCTCCACTTTCCCTCGTGCTGCCCATGTGAACACAACTATTATGCTGTCGAGGCAGCATTTGAACTCGCCCCTTAAACAGTTTGCTCCACTTGTTCAAGTAGAAAAAGCAGAGAAACAAAGTGAGTTTTTTTTAAATGTCATAACTTCAAATGTAGACATGATGGGATGGAAAAACTAAAGAAAGAAAAACATTATATTTGCTGCCCGGGGTCTTCTAGTGCTACACCTCCTCCTTTACACTCACGACTCCTGTTTTTGGGCACTGGTGTGATAAGGTAGTGATGGGTTGTATTACGGCTAAGGGGAATCCCCTGGTGTAGCCTCGTGTATCAGTGTGCGTGTGTGTGTGTGTGTGTGTGTGTGTGTGTGTGTGTGTGTGTGTGTGTGTGTGTGTGTGTGTGTGTGTGTGTGGGCCTCCTCACAGAAAAAAGGAAGAATGCCACCATTGAGCAGCAAGCCACTGCGCCAGCAGTCCTCTCCCCAGCGCCCACACCTCCTCCATCCCTCTCTTGCACTCTGATGTACAGTTGGAGCAGATTTGGTGACACGAAGATAAAAGCCTTCCACTGTTTCTGTCCTTCCTCTTTCTCCAGTGTCACCAGAGCGCTTAGTGCTGCTGCCTTGGCTGTAGACATAGAGAGCTTATTCAAACCGACACAATCACTTTTTCCTCCCGCTCAGCGATAAAACACAAGTCCAAAAGTCTCGGTGCAACATGCCCACCGGCAGCTCTCCACGGGAACCTGAACCACACCGGTCCGATCCAGTCTAAACGCAACAGCTGTGACTGAACCAAAGACCAACTTCCTCTGGCGATAACCAGGCAGCGATGATGGGAGATTAGATTTGTGCAATAAGTTACTCCAGAAGTAAAAAAGATAAACCAACTTCAACTTGATTAAAAGGGGAGGAGCCTGGCATGGCCGACATTATGGAGGACAGGTGCCACCGGCTCCGAGGTTAGGACTCTTCCCTGTAATCGGTGGGTTACCGGTTTGAACCCGGGCTTCATCAGTTTTTGAGCCTTTGAGCAAAGCACTTCACTTATTACATGGTTATTCATTAGCGTAAATATCACAATGATCAACAAAATGTAGCACTTCTAATTTATCCAAGGGTCATGTTTGGAAGGAATTGCCTAATACTTCTACTGGGATAGCTGAGAAATGGAAATGTGACATCCGTGTAACACAAAATCGTTTTTTAAACTTGAAGCTAGCGCTTTAACGTTGATCTCAGTGGTTGTTGAGTTAGAAACTCGGCCAGTTTCATACCTGACACCACTCTGCTGCCCTCTACTGGTCAAAAACTGCACCTGCTAGTGTTGTGGAGCAAGTAGACGGCCTTGGGGGCGCACTTTATCTGCTGTATAGCTGTTAGCTGTAATGCCAGCGGTTAGCATTTTCAGTTCGCTGATCGTCAATAAAATGCACAGGAAGAAGAAGAAGTTGTTTGCGTTTTCTGTTGGCATCATGGCAGAGCCTGGAAGTAAACGTAAGATAGGAATGTCTTTGAAGGTGAAGCAAAGAGCTAAAACCTGAGAGAACATTCACGGCCCACGCTAGTTTGAGGGAAAGGAGGCTACAAAATCACGGACTGATGGTGACCTGGCTTTGTTGCTACTGGACTTGTACATCTGAATATTTTTTGTCCAATAGTGTGAAACTTTTCTACTTTGTGGTTTATTTTAGTATAAGTTGGCTTATGTTAGCATTAGCTCGTTGTGAGCGCTAGCTACAGCAGGCTGCTGCAGGGTTGTTTGCAATAGTTGTAATTCCACGTTCAACCAGTAGGAGGGAGGAGAAGGAAATTGATTTGTGATCCTTTAAGGTTTATTAAATCATGCCACACTGGACTAGCCGTTAGCTTATCAGTCTGTAGAACCTAAACTCCATACTGAGGCCAATCAGGAACTGGTGAAGAAGCGAATTCAAAACAAAAACAAACTTCACAATGGCCAAAACGTCCCTTTCAAATGATTTTATCTCACTGAAAAAAGACAAATGTGACAACGAAGCTACGATTTTATGGCCCGTTTAGGGTCACCCGTTGGGGACAGCTGTAGCTCAACAGGTTGAGCAGGTTGTCCAGTAATCGGAAGGTTGCAGGTTCGATCCCGGGTCTGGACAGAGAATTCTGTCGTTGTGTCCTTGGGCAAGACACTTAACCCACCCTGCCTGCAGGTGGTGGTCGGAGGGACCGGTGGCGCCTGTGCTCGACAGCCTCGCCTCTGTCAGTGCGCCCCAGGGCAGCTGTGGCTGCATCGTAGCTCATCCCCACCAGTGTGTGAATGTGTGTGTGAATGGATGAATGACGCACTGTAGTGTAAAGCGCTTTGGAGTCCTTACTGGGTCATTTATCATTGAAGTTACAAAGCCTTCGGTTTTATTTTACAACATATTTGAGTCCAAATCAGTTCAAAAGAGAATAATCAGAAAATTAAAGCCAGTTCCCTCCACAGAAGTCGATTTCAGCCTTAAGAACGTTGGACTGGGATACTTGGTGTGCCGAGTTTTCAGGGAATTAATGCAAATCAATGCTGTCTCCTCTGAAAATGACTAAATGAGACGTCGTTTGTGTGAAAGCGTGAGTGAGTCACCTGACACACAAGACACCAGGTGGATGCAGTCCATTACCCCCGCGCATCAAATTCTATTAAAAGGACCTGGTCATAATCTCTAATCACTTCCACGTCTGGCGGAATAAGAGAGCAGGTTAATCTGGATTACACGTCACCGTGGTGAAGTCACAGCCGAGGCAGCTGACATGCTGACGAGCCAGGAAGAGCAGGTGGAAAACAAACAGTGACGAGGAGGAAGCGTTAAAAAAGACACCTGCATGACAAACTATGGCCAAGTCTCACTCGTGCAGGCTAAGGGTTTGCACCAGTAGACGTGCACTATGAATGGTGGTTTTTAAAGAAATGGTCAGTTTCTAAGAGTCGATGATCCCGAACACCACTTCCTAACTCAGAAAGAGGCGGACTTCTGATCCATGCCTACAGGACACATTCTGCTCTAAAAACCATGCTAATGGAATTAGGTCATCTTGTAATTTGCTGAAGATTCTGCTGATAAGGGTGAACGCACAGATTCCCGTCTGGGAATCAGCTGACGATGACGGGCAGAACACCCACTCAGCAGCACATCCAAACCTGGAAACTGAAAAAAAGGGTGGAAATGTAAATCAGGAGCGAGCGAGGGCGATTTAAAAATAAATCACAAGCGTACAAGTCTGGCGGCATGTGATCTGCACGCCCGCTGGCTAATTGTGGCACAATGGGAACGACTGGTGTTTACAAACGTATTCATGACAGCTTTCCCTCGCTCACCGTGTCACAAACAAATCTGGCACCCAAGCAGGAATGTTGGACTTCCTGCACGTTTCACTCCAACCTGTGCATGAAGCATTAGTGAGAATGATGGGGGGCGGATCTGGGTCAGTGGGTGTGTTGGTGAAGCGTTTTAGGCAAAGTGTGGCTTTATTGTTGTAGTTTTAAAGCCTAACTGTTATATTTGATGCCAGGGACGTGTTTGAATTTATTAAAGTTAGACTTTTGACTTCTGACTAACTTTTTAGTTAAAAATCCAGATTAGTAATTTTTGCCATCAGTGTTGTAGGAACATGAATAAGATGGAGCTGGTCTGCAGACTTCTGCCGGACTGAGGTGATGAACCGGAGGATTCATGGGTTGTGGGTGGATCGTTTGGATGGAAGTGCAACCTCAAAGGAAAAGAGGAATCTGACTCAGACCTCAGAAGATGAGAACGTTTCAGCTTCTTTCTGGTTGGGTCTACGAGATTATAATCTACAATAAACCTGAGGCTGGAGCTCTGTAAAACCCTACATACGTGGATGTTAACAGTTTAAAGGGTAGTTACTGCACAAACACCGACAGCTTCTCCTGCAGCGGCGGTGGTCCTGATGGAGGTGTGACAACATCACGTGATTCACAGACCTGCTCAGAGCGCTGGTTGGAAGACCTGGCGGGTTTTGGACGTCGGACCTACGGGCTTTCCCCGGACTCTGCCTCCTGGCAGCTCCCTCTCCTCTCTGTAAAACTAGCCTGACGCTTCGCTAGCCCCGTGGCTCGTTTCTGGGGGGATCACCTAGCCAAATGAAACCGGGCCACGCTGCGGGGCTAAAAATACCTGTCTACGACTATATTTGGCTTGGCCGGATCGCAACCGGAGCGCTGGAAGAGTCGGGCCCGCCCCGGCTCAATGAATGAGCTCTTTGCATCTCGCTCAGCCTCCTTCGGCCAGGCTGCGGCTAAAATTAGCAACACGGCTTGCGTCAATCACGAGCCTCCATGCGTCAAGGATCGCCCCGCCCCTCAGGCTCGTCATTGGTCAGATTTAGGACGCTGGCTAAAGAAAACGCGCCTCGTGATTGGCGGGTGAGAACGGCTCTACGGAGACTCCGGTGGGGCTTTTTAAATGTGTGGTTGGCGTGCACGCCCTCCTAATCCTAATCCCATAGTTCCAATAGCCATCGATTTCAAATCAAACAGATTATATTTCTTACGTTGAACCAAACACGTGACAACTAGACGCACATATTTACATCATAATCGCAGAATCTGACTCACTTTGGGTGTTTTGACGAAATATAAACATGCATGATTATTTCCCACACTTCATGTTTATCTCAAATTAAGTTGTTTAGGAATGTTTTTGATTACACAGCAGGATATTTGTGGGTATTAAAATCATTAAAGCTTAAGACACTTTATGTTTGATTGTGTCGTTATCCACCTTTAACGTCACAAGTTCTACAAACAGACTAAAATAATCCCATTCTGGCGCACGTTTGGGTAAAATAAGGAGATTAGACTGTTTAATGATGTTGGTTTGTGTTTGCAGGAAAGAGTGAAATTCTTATGAGTTCATTCCAGGTCACTCAAAACCGATTGGACCTAATAAAAGACCAGCTTTAGTGCTATTAGTGGGAATTTAAATAGCTTCTGTTTGAAAAAGCATCATAATATTTGCAACACGTGAATGATCAAGTTAGCCTGGTGAAGTGGTGTGAGGGTGAATGCTTTTTGTAATTTCTGCCGTGAAAAAATCTTTGTTTTTCTGCAAACGTAGAGCCGTCGGGTCAAAGTTGTCTTCTGGGGTCTCTTCGCCTGCTTCTTGGGTCACGAGCATTTTTCTTCCTGTGTATCATAGAAGCTGCAGGAAACTGAAACAACGATACGATGTGAAGTGAAACTTGTGTGAAGCCTCTACTGGATTTCAGACTCAACCATGTGTGGTTGCTTTTGGCTGTCTGTGTGTGTGTGTGTGGGGGGGGGGGGGGCTTCCTGAGCACACACTCACACGTTTTATTTACCAGATTATTAGTCTTGTTGTTTTAAATGAGATTAAATGCAGTTTATTATGAGACAGGAGCTCTGATTTGTGGATGCGTTGATGCCCGCTCGCCCGGCGGATCCCCCTCCGCTTCCTGTCTCGCAGACATCAAACCAACCTGCTCTCCCTCTCCGTCCTCCGTCCGACCGTCTCTCCACCCCGCTCCGCCTTCCTCTGGCACCGCCGCTCGGAGCTTATACTGTACGGAGAGCGCCAGAGAGGGGTGCTGGTTGGAGTGACGTCATCTCTCCCATGGCGTCACATTGACGTAGCGCATACCAACCGCTCCGCGTGGAGGTGGAGCGCTCATAAATGCTCTATTTGACTTTCTCCCCTCACTCATAAACAAACGCGCGTTGCAAGTGCTCACTTAAACAACTATCCGCGCTGACAGCTCACCGGGACGGACGCAGACGCGCTCCTCTCTCGGGAGTTTGAAGTTGTTTTTATTTTATCCCTCCTTTTTTTTAAATCTTTTCTACTTTTTCTGCTTCAGCTAATTGTTTCCGACGGTTTTTGCGCCTCGGAGCCTTTTTTAAAGATATTTTTTCTCTTTTTTTATTTCAACTCTGAATCTTCTGGATGGCAAAGGGATATTCCAAGCGCGGCTTTAACCACACGTAAAGACGGAACCGCCACAGCAAACAAGTAAGTCCACTCTGAATGAATGAAGCGCTCTCACTGCTCCGTTTGGACCGTTAGCGCAAACCCCTCAGCTGTTTCAGAACAACACGTGTAAGATCTCTCCTTTCTTAACCTTATTCTTTATTTTACCGCACAAATGTGCGCTTAACCTGTTGATGTTAAACATCCAGCCGCTCCAGTTAAGCTGCTGATTCCAAATGAATCTGAACTCGAATTTAATCTGCGCTGGGAAGGTATCATATCCTTTCCGGTTGTCATGGAAATGAGATGCCTCTCAGTCAGACAGTGGAGACAGACGCACAAATGGGTCTGAGTGTCCAGGAGCTAAGAGACGAGAGTCCATGCTTTTGCTTCCAGCTCTTATTTTTTATGTTAGCTTTTCTCTTTGGGAAGTTTTGACAGTTTGGATATGATCTAATTAATTCAAGATGGTACGCAAGAGTTTAAATTTGTGAATTATGAACAGTTAGACAAGGTGTCGTGAAAATGTATTGGCTTTTAGTCTTAGGTTCAAATTTGAGAGATAATCGGAACTCGTTGCCTCTCCTTTCACCAAAAACACTAAGATGTCTGTTCCCACTGTGAAATGTGCCCTGAAGACACGATGGTATAATATGCGCTTTGGGTCATTTCTGAGAGAAGACAAGCAGTGTCAAGTTGAAGTGCTGAAGTAAGTTGCTGCATTGATCCTTCCCCTTCCTTCCCCCCCCTTCGCTCTGAACTTTACGCACGCAGACAGACTCTTCATGACAGCCTCCCTCTCAGGGCTGATTTACAGTACTCATATATTTCAGTGCTCTCCCTTTTCTCTGCCTCTGTTTGCTGGAAGCCCTGCGCTGTCTGAGGTTATTGCTGCGAGGGGCTACCGGGGCCTATACCGGCGCTCCGGAGCGCGTGCTTTGGAGATCTTTTGTCGTTCTCTTGGTTACCGGTGCGCGCGGAGCCAGAGCCCCTCCGGTGTCTCAGTCAGAGGAAAAAACGGGAGGAGAGTTTGTTCATGTTTGGTGTAACAGACAGAAAGTCTCCGTTTTTGATGAAAAATAAATGTTGATTATTCCTTCTCAAGGATAAGAGTGTCTTTACGCACAATTTCACTTAACGACTATATGCCAAAAACCTCCCTGACCAAACTGTCCCAACTGTCTCTCCCTTTTCCGAAACCCTTTCATGCATAACTGAAAAGAGGAACGTAATTGTTCTCAGCTATAATTAAATTATCGTGTCCATCAGTTACTCTGCTTGTCTTTTCTGGTTCGATTCTCGACATTTGGAGGCATCAGCCAAACTTGTAGCTTTTATAGTCAAATCCAGCGTTTCATCTCATGCTTAACCATAAACATGTAAGATGGTTTGTTATTACAGCGTTTAAACCACTTTAGAGCGTTTCCGTCAACACCATCAGACCTGCAGCAGAGATGAGTGCGTTTGGGTCTGTCGCAGAACGCGCGCACATCACTTTTCCTCGCGCGCGCGCGTGTGCGTGCGTGCGTGCGTGTGTGTGTGTGTGTGTGTGTGTGTGTGTGTGTGTGTGTGTGTGTGTGTGGTAAAGAGAGGGAGCGGAGTGCAGGTTCAGAGGGTGTGTGACAGAAAGGGGGCGCTCTGGGCCTTGAAATTCTCCAGCCTCCGTGCGTCCTTCTCCAGTTGACACGGTGCTGGAGGCGCACGGAGCGCAGGAGCCCGCTGGTTAAAGTTTCAGGTCCGACTCGACAGCAGATTCGTCTCCAGCTCTGGATGAACCTTGCGCCGGCCGAGGCAGTGGCGATCGGAGGCAGGAACAGGGATGGCCCGGGTGCGCTGGCCCGGTCTGCTTTTATAAAATTACTCACTTCTGTAGGTGTGTAGGGTTTTTTATTTGTTTTCCTTGTTTCTCAGAAGTTTGTTTTTGTGATGTTTCGGCGCGCATTTAACTCAAAACATTCTGAGAATAACGGAGCGCGTTTTGTTGGAATGAAACCTGTCGCCCACAAGTGCGCAATGAGCCTAAACTTCTTAGTTGTGGTTCTTAATATTTAATATTAATATTTTTTCCTATCAAATTTTTGCTGCACTTAATGTGATAATTTCTCTGATTTTTACAGAAATGGGAAACTTTTTCACCTTTTCTGCAGATTTGCCCAATCGGGTGTTGTAATTTACCAAGCATGCCTGGCGCGCGCTTTCGTATCTCTCTGCATCTCTTACACTCTCCAGAAATAATTTTTCCCTCAAATAAGGGAATAATCCAAACCCGGATTAGTGATCTTTCCGATTGTGTTTTTATGTGACAATCGTTTCCCTTTGGAAAAAATATTCCAGAATTTGCCAAATAGAGCCGGGACTCGTTGGAAGGAACACGCTTTTACCGATGTTGTAGTTTTTGATCGGGGGAGAGATGGCACCCACCTTTTCCTCCAGCCTGCATCCCTGGCTCTAACCTCGCATATGTGTACCCCAGGCACAGGTTCGGAAGAGCGCGCCCAGCCGAGCTCGGAGCACCGACGATCTGATCCTTCCTCTGCTGCGCACGCCGAGTCCTCCCAGCTCCAGGAGCCCTGTCCCGGCCGCAGCCACGCCACCCCTAAACCCCGGACACCCAGCACCATTCAGCGCGAAGCTCTCTCATCAGGTACAAAAGCGCACTTTCTTTCTTTCTTTCTTTCTTTCTTTCTTTCTTTCTTTCTTTCTTTCTTTCTTTCTTTCTTTCTTTCTTGACACTTTCGTCGGTTACGCTTTGGCTGCTGGGCTCTCTGATTTGAGCGTTTTTGATCACAGCTGATTTGGAGCGGGCTTGATTTTAATGTTCTTCACCCTTGTCCAACAGTGTGTGTGTGTGTGTGTGTGTGTGTGTGTGTGTGTGTGTGTGTGTGTGTGTGTGTGTGTGTTGAACTGATTTATTGACAGATGTGAGCCTATAGTGGAACATTCTCTCACTCTTTCACGTCAATTCTCTTTTTAAAATCGCATTTCTTCTTTATAAAAACAGGCTCACGTGTGTTTTGCTCAGTGTCACGGGTATTGTAACTGTATTCCTCTTTTTGTTTGTGAGAAGAGCACACGTGTGATTTTGTGTGAGACTTCTCAGTTGTAACAGACTTCTCATATTTTGTTGATTTATTTTCTTCCCTTAATTTATGTCTGAAACTTCATGTTTTCATTTGTTAGATCTATGGCATTCTGACAATGAACAAGCGCGCTCAGTTGTTGGAACAGCTGCAGTTTGTCCAGTTGAAATGCACACCTCGAGGTTAGAGACTGCTTCCCTTCACCTCACTGTGCTCTGCTTGGGTTGTCTGTCCTGCTTTCTCACACACGCACGCACGCACACACACACACACACACACACACACACACACACACACACTTGCATGTACGGTAGTAAAGCAATCTTTGGTGGTGTTGGGGGTTACACCAGACTGTGTGAGCTTGTGAACATGGGTGTGTTGCTGACTGAAGGCCACTCACTGAAAGTCTCACCTGACAGAAGTGGTTTTACAGGTTTTTTTCTTTCTTTTTTAAGATGTTGTTAACATACGGGTCCTTGTTGACACCTTGAATATCAGGAGGACAATACATGCATGCAAGAACAAAAAAAAATCCTAATAACAGCTTTTGAAAAACCTCTAATCTGACCCAAACCAACATAAAAATGTTTCATCTTCACACCTTTTCTTGATCTCTCCTCAGGCAAAGTTAAACGTCCTGGCAGCTTAATGAGCTGCTGTGGGTGTTTGTATGACAGGTGCTGAGAGTCCTGAACACACACACACACACACACACACACACACACGCACGCACACACACACACACACACACACACACACACACACTTATGGTGTCTGACCTACTGACACAACGCTGCTCTCTTGTCCTCGTGGTGATTTCTCCCTCTTTCGCCTGCCTCTGCTCAACCAGCTGAACTATAGCTGACGTCGTCCCACGTGGGTTGAAGAGCTGATCACTTGTAGGAGAAAAGAGGAATCATGACGTGAGAACTAAGTTGACTCATTTCCATAATCGTGCATTGCCAGTGAGACTCATCCTGCGTGTGTGAAACAAGATCCCAATATTTCTGTTTTTCAGCTTTGATTTTTAATGAGATGAAACTTGAAAATGAAAATTTTACTTTATTAAATATTTAAATTTTTTCTTGTTTATTTAGGGGTCATGATCCATACCATGTCCCTCTAATTTAATCGTGTCAGAGCGGCCAATAACTTGCGTCGCTTTTGTCCGCCTGCGCCACGCGCGCACCTGTGGTGCACGAATCAGGCAGCTGTCAGGTTTCTCCTCCGTTTGCTGACGTTAGAGCGTTTTGGTGAAGAGACACAACGATTTCATCTAGGCGTTGGTTTTGTTTGAAATTCGATCAAATCTATAAATCACGATAACTGGTGTCATCTTCCTGGCGGAGGGTCTGTTCGGATGGAGACGGAGATCCGGGACCGGGACCGACATGTTCCGTGTTTGACACGTGACGCACAGCCAGAGAGCGTCTATCCGCGCTACCCTGCACCTCAGGAAAAACTGCACAAAAATACAATCTGAGCGAGCGACACGTTTTAACCCGCACGCGACCGCGCAGCGAGTTTGTGCGGGTGTTGCGTAAAGAGGAGGCTGTGAGGTGTCCTCCGGTCCTGCTGCTGCGGAGCGGGTCAACCTGTCTGGTTCATCTCTGGTGTGTGTGTGTGTGTGTGTGTGTGTGTGTGTGTGTGTGTGTGTGTGTGTGTGTGTGTGTGTGTGTGTGTGTGTGTGTGTGTGTGTGTGTGTGTGTGTGTGTGTGTGTGTGTGTGTGTGTGTGTGCGTCCAACACCATCATGGGGTTCCATTGTTATTATTATTGTTGTTGTTGTTGTTGTTGTGATCTGATCTGCTCCCACCCCTCATCGGCTCTAATAAAGCTGCGGCCTCACTCTAACCACCTGTCTGAAAGGTTCTTCCCAGAGCTTTCGTTGGTTGAGCGGTGCTTTTTGAGTGAACTGGGATGATTTTAGAGGAATTTCCAGCAGGCGGAGCGACATAAACTTCCTGTTCCAGTTGAGCTGTGTAGCTGTGTGCATGTGCCTCTCAGCTTCTGGTGGCTTTCTATGCAGCCTCCCTCAGTCCTCTATTTGTCCAACATCGGGATCACATTTTACTTTCTGCCTACTGCTTTAAGACCTTCTCTAATCTAACCAAATGCATGTTGAATAAAAATCCTGTCGTGCTGCCGCTCTGACCCGTCTGATCTCTGTTCCCCAGCAGACATGCCCTGTGTGCAGGCTCAGTATGGGCCCGCCCCCCCAGGCTCAGCTTACTCCGGACAGTCCTTTGGTTACCAGGGTGACAGCTACAGCTCTGACCTCATGACCCCTGACTACACCAAGCTGGACCTGGGTGGGGGTGAGATCTCCGCTGCCGCCACCACCTCCCTCCCCAGCTTCAACGTGTTTGTTGAGGGGAGCTACGAGCCCAAGTCCTCCTGCCTCTACCAGATGCCCCCCCACAGGCCCACCATCAAAAAAGAGGAGGAGAGCTATCCGACCACCCCTCCGCTGGAGGCCATGACCTCCTCCACCATGTACTTTAAACAGTCCCCCTCATCCCCTCCCACCACCCCATCCCTGCCACCCCAGCACAGCACCTCCTTCTTGTGGGACGAGCATTTGGCCCCTCCGTCACACCCTCACTCCCTGGGCTCCAGCCTGGAGACGGGCTCCCTCAAGTCCCCTCGTTTTCCACACTTTTACCAGCACTCCCCACCCCACAGCGGTGGCAGCGTTGGTGGCTACGAGAGCCTAGGAGGAGGGCTGGTTCGAACCTCTTCTTCTTCCTCCTCCTCCTCATCGTCAGTGTCCCACCCACACGGTCCTCCTCTGGAGCAGTCCATGTACCAGCTGCACCGCGGGGCTGGGGGCAGCAGCCTCGCCTTCCGCTCTCTGGCTCTGGGGCCTTGTGGCCCTCTGCTGGGGGACAGTCTGCCCTCGCCTCCCCCTCGCGGCCCCCAAGGAGAAGGGATCTGCGCGGTGTGTGGAGACAACGCGGCCTGCCAGCACTACGGCGTACGCACCTGTGAGGGCTGCAAGGGATTCTTCAAGGTAACACCTTTAACTTAAAAGCTACTTTTACTGACTCCCATCAGACTTAAAGCTCTGCCTCAGGTTTCATGAAAGTGGAAAAGTTTTTGAAACAAAAATAAGTTACAGTTTGGAGAAAATATATTTGTTCCAACTAGATTGATAAGCTAATGGCTAGTTACAGTAAGGCCTGTGTGGGTCCCTGCCCGTTTAAAACAAAAACAATATTTTTACTCGATTTTATGAGCTTTTGTTATTTGCATGAAAACTCTTTGGTTACATTAAGCAGAACAAAGCTAACTCTGGTAGCTCTGGTGTGCCCTGAGGCACTTCCTGCAGAACACTTACTCAGCAAACATGAAACCCAAACATGAAACGGGTGGCAGAGGAAAGGTTCAAATGCGTGTTTGCACGAGTTGGTGTGAATCTTTGAGAATGGAGTTGTTTGAATCATGTGACAGAAAGCTGCTGTGGTCAATCCAATTCAATTCAGTAATACTTTATTAATCCCAGAGGGAAATTAGAGTTTCAGTACACACAATTCTGAGATCAGACATACACACATAGGCACATGACAAGAATTGGTGACTGTGGTCATTCGCAACACGAGTCGCGCTACCGTAATAGATCAAGAGGGTTTATGTGAGGATAGAGTTGGGGGGGGGGGGGGGGGGGGGACTTCAGAGTTACCCTCACCAGAGAGAGCAGCTTTGCTATGCACAAAAACACCTCAGACAGATATGCACACAGACTTCAGACGATACACACATAAGTGTCCACTAGGTGGGGCTGGAAGGTTCTGGGACTCTCCTCACTTCAGAGCGTGCAGCCACAGAGCAGCGCTCACCACCTCCGTTTGGACAGGGGAGGGAGAAAATGGGTTAGAGAGCACATTGACTCCTAGAGACGGTTCCACGGCCTTCACCGGTCACAGTCCCGCCCAGGCTGGGATAGGGAGAAAGAGT